TCTACAATTTCCGTTATTTATAAATGTGTGTTCTGGGAATTAAGAGCAAACTAGATTTTGCAGCCCAAATGGAAATAAATGCAATTGTTACAAAAATCAAGTATTTTTCTGTTTCGTATTCTGTTATGGACTGGGCACACAGCGAAATGCCACCAAAGCTGAATGAGTGCCACTGACTGCCCCTTGTCCTCCTCTGTCTCTGACTGCCAGGGACTCCTCGTGCTGCCGATGCCCCAGTGGGAAACGTTGCCTCCTGGAGAGCTGCTACAAAAGAAGTCGGGAAAACTGTCGAGAGCAAGATTTAGGCTCCCAAAGACCCCAGACCTCACTAGGAATCTCCCTAGGAAGGAGGTACGTTTTGAGGATGAAGCAGGAGCCTGGTGACACCTCTGTCCTTTCTTGAGGTTGCCACCCTTCCTGCCCTTGTCCCACTGCCACACATACCATCCCTGTTAGGGTGGAAAGGCTGGTAGGTCACGTCGCGGGTGGAGAAAGACTTCTCACAGAGAGATTAAGATATATAAACGCAAAATTTATTTTGTCCTTTAGAAGGACAGAGAGAATGGAGGGGTGGAAGAGAGCAGAGAGACGATGTGGTACCCCAAAGAAAGAGAAGGGAGATGCCAGCAGCCAGGCCAAGTGGCTTGCGGCTTTTATGGGGACAAAGAGAAAAATGGTGAATTGTTGAGAATTGCCATATCAGCTGCTCCTCTTATTAACTGCAAGCAGATGAGGAATGTGCTGTGTGAAACTGCTGCATCCCTTCCCTTTGCTTTCAGGATAGTGACCTTGCCCTCAAGATATGATTTGGGTCTGGGTTGGATGTCTGGAGATTGTCCCCATGCTGTCATCCAGGAACTTCTCAGGAACTACTCCAGGCTATAGAAACAGATGCTAAAAAGGCAGTTTTAGTCAATAGGTACTGTAAAAAAAATTTACATTTCCTTTTGTCTGCTGGGCTCCTTTGAGATACTCAGAGCTCAGCAGGGCACCAGTTAGTTAGGTGGAGAGGGAGCAGAGAAGACCCACCGTCCTTTCAGTCCCCTGTTTCTGGGATGCCTTTCTTATACGTGTCTGGGGCACACTGATTTTTAAAAACTCCACCCAGGGTGCTCTCCTGACATCTTCTCCTCTCCGCCCTGCCCTCAGTATGAATTAGAAATCTCACGTTAGCACACATCGGATCAGAGCCTGCGCCATCCTGCTCATGAGAGACGGACTGACAACGCCGCCAGGAGCAGAGGCTCAGGAGCCCCACCTCCCTGGATTCAGATCTTAGCAGCTGCACCCTGGTCTGTGGCCTTAGCCAAGGGTATCAGTCTGGGTCGAACCAGGGGAAAGAAACCATGCAGTCTTTGTATCCAGAAGGTTCAATGTTCTTACTAACCATAGCAGAGCATTGGAGTAGTGAGAGATTGGCTAGGAAGTAGTAAAGATAGCTCTGAAGAATAAAGGTGTGCATAGCAGATACAAGGAGCAACACCACCGCTAGGAAGAGTGTTTCCTCCTCCCCTTGGGCTGAGAGAGATGGATGTGGCTCAGCCAATGACAGAGAAATTTCTGTGATACTATGTAGATGGAACTTTTGCCGGAAATATGCCCTGTAGTATGCGTGGGGAGCTGTCTCATCTTACTCTGAGACAGTACTGCCTCAGGGAAGGTGCTGGGGGAAGCAGCTGGCCAGGGTGCCCTGCAGGAGCAAACTCTCTAGAGCCTGCTGAGCAAACTCAGTGGATGCAGGAAGCAACACCTTTTTTCTCCTGCAGCTTCTCCTTAGCTCCCTCCACTGACAAAGCTTAACTTCTTGTCAGCAAGCAAAGGGAAAATATTTATAGAGCCTGGATCCATTTTAATGGAGCAGGCAAAAAGAGTGAATTTGGAGTGAGATCAATAACTGGCACAGCAAGTTATTTAACCTGGCCTCAGTTTCCCCAACTAAAAAAATGCAGATAATTCTAGTGCTTCCTTCATAGGGTCGTTACAGGAATAGAATAATTCAGTGTGAGCTGAGTGCTTAGAAGAATACCCAGCTCAAAGCAAACATACCAAGAATATTTCCTATTATCAGTAGAGGTGGAAATAGAAGTGTCATGAGAAACCTAAGAGAACAGAGATGGTGAGTTTTTCATCCCCATAATCCCTCAGCTTGGCAGTGAGAGGCTCCAAAAGACTACTGAACTCCTGAGTGTTGCTACAGCAAAAATCAGTCATACTGATACTTCAGGATATTTCATACACTTGTTTTCTTTTATACTCTTTTTTACTCTTAGAAATCATTTCAGCAGCATGGCAAGCTTACCTTAAGGTTAATTTTTGTTTTCCTAAACTTATTGGCCTTTCCCAGGATGCTACATGGAATTTCCATTTCTATTTTAAGTGTTTCTTTTTTAAAAAAAAAACATTTAAAATCAAATTGATTTTATTAGTTAAGGACAGTATTTCATAGATAAAGATCCTGTACACCTTGTCTTGTTTTTCTTTAATATTCTCAGAGAGTTTCTAAAGCTTTTCCTAATCAACCATTTACAATAAATCAAGAGCACAACCACTCCTAGACTGTTTTGTGACACTTCTCAAGAAGTGTGTTTATGTTGACTAACATTTATTATTTATTTATTTATTTAATTTCAGCATATTATGGGGGTACAAATGTTTAGGTTACATATATTGCCTTTGACCCACCTGAGTCAGAGTTTCAAGTGTGTCCATCCCCCAGACAGTGAGAACTGCACCCATTAGGTGTGAATATACCCATCCCTGCCTCTCCCCTCCCACCTGCCCAACATACCAATGAATGTTACTATTATATGTGTGCATACAAGTGTTAATCAGTTAATACCAATTTGATGGTGAGTACATGCGGTGCTTGTGTTTCCATTTTTGTGATACTTCACTTAGTAGAATGGGCTCCAGCTCTATCCAGGATAATACAAGAGGTGCTAGATCACCATTGCTTTTTGTGGCTGAGTAGAACTCCATGGTATACATATACATCATTTTCTTAATCCACTCATGTATTGATGGGCACTTGGGTTGTTTCCACATCTTTGCAATTGTGAATTGTGCTGCTATAAACATTCAAGTGTAGATGTCTTTTTTATAGAATGTCTTTTGTTCCTTTGGGTAGATGCCCAGTAATGGGATTGCTGGATCAAATGGTAGTTCTACTTGTAGCTGTTTGAGGTATCTCCATATTATTTTCCACAGAGGTTGTACTATTTTGTAGTCCCCCCCAGCAGTGTATGAGTGTTCTTATCTCTCTGCATCCACGCCAACATTTATTCTTTTGGGACTTTGTGATAAAGGCCATTATCACCGGAAATAAGTGACATCTCATTGTGGTTTTGATTTGCATTTCCCTGATGATCAGAGATATTGAGCGTTTTTTCATATGTTTGTGGCTATTAGTCTGTCTTTTTTTGAAAAGTTTCTGTTCATGTCCTTTGGCTAATTTTTAATAGGATTGTTTGATTTTTTTCTTGCTGATTTTGCTAAGTTCTATGTAGATTCTAGTTATCAGCCCTTTATTGGATGTGTAGCATGTGAAAATTTTCTCCCATTCTGTAGGTTGTCTGTTTGCTCTTGTGACAGTTTCTTT